GGCATTACAGGTGTAATCACCCAGCTCAGCCTTGCAATGCCGTTTCTAATGTCCAAAATTGTTTTCTGTTTTATGACTGATTTACATGTTGACTAAGGCTGTTAGGCAAGTGTCCACCATCCTTCGTGTTCCTAGTGCATTGTTTGACACAAAGCTGTTTTATGGGCTGTAAATGCACACAAGCTTCCATGGTCACATAGAAATGGGGAAGCTTGCAGTTCAGCATAGTTAAACAGGCGTCGTTCCAGTAGAGCCTCCTGGAACCCTCGGGGTGCCTGTCGGCGTGGGAGTGTCTAAGATGAGGAAGGGAGGCCTGAGTCTTGACCACAGCGTCTGGCAGGACTGTGCTGTCTTGGACGTTATTGGGGGAAAACCGAGCCCTTGTGATGTGGGCACTATTTCTGTGTGTGGGGTGGAAATGGCCCGTTGTTTGGAGAGTTGCGAACCTGGCGTGCCGCTGCGGTGTCAGCCAGTCTTCCAGCAACTGAGCGCAGTTATTGCCGGGGGACTCCAGGATGGCCTCGGTTGACCTCTTGAGGACTTAGGGGTGCTTTTAAACCACCAGCTGGTTCCTGATCGGAGGGAGACACAGTGATCGAAAGGAAAGGTCAAAGGTTCTCAGCTACACCGCTGTGCACACAAACCATGACACAGGGGTGAGTTAATTTCCAAAAACGGCTGCAGGGTGGCAGGCCACGGGGCAGGACGGGCCTAGCATGTGGCGTGGGCAGTTGGGGTTCGGGAGCTGGGGGTCGGGAAAGCCTGGTCCCCGAAGCCCAGGGAGGTAAGAGTGGTGGTCCAGCGCCTGCTGCCGGTCGTCAGACGGGGCAGTCAGTGAGGAGGCGTTTGTCTGCGAGCTTGGGCTGGGGTGCAGACGTTCGATGGCTTTAAGCTTTGAACGGCTTGTCAAATTCTGATCTGTCATTGTGGGGCTTGCTCGTCACCGGGGTCTTTCTGGAGACGGTGCGGCACGAAACCCGTTCTCTCACCAGCCCTCAAGCCAAGCAGCTCGCAGGATGCGTTTTGCCAGTGCTCATGTGGATGGCTGTCCCCAGGGCGGGAGGATGCAGGAGCTGTGTTTGCTGTTCCTGGATTTTCGCTCCTCAGATCTCGATGGATAACTGATGCCGAGGAGAAAATGACATGTTGCACTTTAAAAGGCTCAGCCCTGGAAGCCAGGGCCTAAAAATGCCGTTCTAGGAGTCAGATTTAGGCTGATCCTTACCACCTACTATTAGCTATTTCACAGGATTGGTTTGAATACGCATTGTGTATTTGTGTATGTCGTAGTATAGTGAGATTGTGTAAGGTGCTACACTCCACCTAAACGATAGTCTAAGTGAGGTGTGTTCCTTGTCTGAATATGTGAGACAGACCTGGTACTCTCCAGAAGAATCTGTGAGGAGCCTGTCCTTGGAGGCCATTAGCCACTTCCATCAATAGTAGAGAATGCAAATTGGAGAAGGAATTTTTTAGCAGTAAAATTTATTTCTCTCTGTTAATGCTGGTTATCCTTAGCATTTGCACAATTCTTTCATTGAAATTACGTGAATTCTTACTTCAGGAAAAGAAATTAAGTCTCAGCATTGTGGAAACCTTGCCTTACCCAGAAGAAACTGTGGCAAACATGTTATTTGCCCATTGTGTGGAGAACATTAGTAGTGAATTTAAACAGATTTTCTTGTCGTTTCTCACATGTTTGCTGTTTTGGGGGGCTTTCCAATAAGATTTGCTGGAGAATAGTGGGAATATTTATTAACTCAATTCTAGGAATGAATGCATCTTGTTTTTCAAAGCTGTGTGTCCATTGGCTTCTTTATTACTTCGAGCAACTCTAGGATTATGCAAGAACCCTCCTGTTTAATGAAAGACTTTAAATGCAGGAAAGCTTGGTGATTTTCTCCTTGGTGGATGGCGGAGCTGGAGTTAGCGTCTGGGCGTAGGGCCGCACGCTCGGGTCTGCCTGCTTCCCCTTAGGCCCACAGGGCTAGGGTGGCAAGAGCTTCTGCCTGAGTCTTGGTGACACAGAGGGATAGTCAGAAACTGAACTTAGATCCTTCCATGTGTAGGGATTCTCTAAGGAGAGCTTGTGTCAAAATCTGCAAGCTCATTCCGTTTGAAAATGGACGCCCCGATACGGTGCTCATTTATTACTTCAGATTCATTGCGTCAATGATGACTTTTGAATAGGGTTCTATTATTAGAACGATCGGCCTGAAGTCTGATTGGACTAGAGTCAAGAGACTGCATCACTATAAATAGAGTGAGATAAAATATTTTACATAATTGGATCCAACTTTGATGAGGTCTCATATATTGGAACCTGGGATCTCCTCTCAGGATACTTGGACCCGTTTCCAAATGGCAGGCTTTCCAGTGTGGGGCTCCAGTTGTAGACAGACTGGCTGCCCAGGGGGGTTTGGGAATTATTAAATGGTGTCCTCTGGCACTTTCAGTTGTGTTACCTGAGGCAGAGCCTCATTAACTGCTCCAGCAATAATTTTCCTAACCCAAAAGCTTGAGGAAGTAAGATTAGCATGCTGACTGGAGACCCAAATGAAAACAGAACAACCCTACACGATTCTTATGTATAAAAAAATGGCTGGGCTCGGTGGCTCAGTCTGTAATCCTGCGCCTTTGGGAGGCTGAGGTGAGTGGATCGCCTGAGCCCGCGGG